GGGATGCTAGATTAACCTTAATCCATTCTCTCTAAGAGGTGCTAGGTACAATTTAAAAATAGAGAACGAATACCTTATAGGTACTTAATGGATCATTCTTGAGACAAATACGAATAAATAAATGGAGCGAAATTTATGTTCCAACAGTCATATCCGCCCTGTCTCTAAATCAAAATTGGGCATTAGAATTTGAGAGGATCGTCAGAAAAGATTGCGTCAATCCTTACAAGATTATGACAAAACCTGGTAACCATAGCTGTTTGGGAATCTCATATTAGATGCTTCAGAGCTCAAATGACTGGCACTCTGAGCGGTTCGACAATTTCAAATCAGTTGTGGCACTGCAGAGGCTAACTTCCTTATTTAAGCTGCAATAAGAATAGGAGCGAATTCATGTTAAGTGAATATGTTTTTTACCTGAGAGGTTATCCATGGGGAGAATTTATCCGCTCATACCTATGTAATTAAATGTGTTATCATGCAATCTTTAGACCATAAAGACATCAGTAAACATCACTTCTGTTTACGCTAGTCGCTTATAGACTAAGGAGATGCTGAAATAAAAATCGCAAGTAGAGTTTTATTCGGATCACGTTCATTTTGTAAAGGCCACAGTTTTTGAATGCATAAAAGTTTAATCAAGAAAACTTAAATGTCTAATCCACCTCTCGCGAGGAAAGATACACGCACTTGATCAACCAGTAGGATAGCGGAGATATAAAGGCGTTAAAGCTTTGAGCGTGTCTGTTTAGACATTTAAATATGACCTCAGTAGGGAAGAGATCGGAAGAGACCACTCTCACAATACACAGACAAGGGTGAGTATTTTAGAAAGTCTACGAAAATTGCTCTTCACTAGAAAAAAAAACACAAAAAGGGGCAGCTAATGTGTCCAAAAAATAGTTAAATCAAGCGGCAGGCAAGAATGTGACAATCTGACTAGTAGACTAAACGGAGGTTCAATTTACTGACAAATTATCAAGCGCAAAGTAGTGCTATATATGCCAAATGAAAAATAGCGAGGGCAGAATACAAAATCTGAGAAAATCGAGGATAAAACGATGGCTTAATACTGCTTACGTAGATAAATCGACTGCATTCAAACAAAGGTAGTATAAATAGATTTCCCATTAACGAGAGAAGAAATAAAATTAATACACTAAGATAAACCACTAAGTAATACTGACGTCAAAACAAGTCATCCGTAAAAATGCTTTGAGACTCAACGTAATTTCAGCAGAATAAGAGGCAGTAAGCTTTAGAAAAGTAAAGATAAAGACGCACTGGCGGGACCAGTTTCAGAAAATAGCGAAGAGGGATCGACGATCTGTTGGGGTAGCGGAAGAGATACAAGTATGCAAAAGGATTTGTACCATTGTACGTTTCAGCATTCGCGTCTTGGATATCCGACGACCCTGTCGAACAGTATTGGATCGTCGAGAGGCCAGTTTTTCATTGAAGAGGAGATCGTCAGAGGCATCACATATGCTTGCGTCATGAATTCTGGCATGAATCTAGATATAATAGGTAAAACAAAAAGCTATGACATAATCAAGGCACACCGATATGGAGGTGAGAATCAAATAGTTAAAGGCTAATGTGATAAGAAAACATTAGACTGCTGGCAACTAAATAATACACCCTAATTAAAAATCAAAGAAAAGATTTGGAAAAGTTATATAAAAAATAAGAAATGATCAGAAAAAAATGATAGAAATAGGTTAAACTCATTTTCACAACTTAGACGCACCTTGTCCGAAGTCATCTGCTATAGTAGTTATCATGATTCCCAGCGTTGGACCATGGACTTGGTACATTCCCAAACGATTCGCCGGCATCTTAGTTGGCACCATTAGTGAGTCTTGCCAATCTCAGCGGCAAACTACAACTCGTCAGAGACAAGTATATTTAGGAAAACTTTAATAGACAGATATAAGTCTCTTTGACGAGTTGTAGCTTAGTGGTGAGGATGGCAAAATTCACTGACGATGCATGCGAAACGTTTAAGAATGTACCAAGTCCACGATTAGACGCTGGGAATCATGATAACTACTATAGTAGAGGATTTCGGACAGGATGCGCCCAAGTAAGTCGCCCTGATAACACGACCAAGTGGCAAAATGAGATCAATCCTCATACATCAAAAGAAGACTGCGATCATATAAAAAGGCCGCATCTTGGTCTTCATATATTTGATAAAGATATAGTTGAAAAAGCAACATTAAAATAGCGTTTCACAAGTGGACTTTTCTGCAAGCTTCATAGATGAACCAAAGATTCCAACGTTAATCCTTTCCAAATGAATTGGGCAAAAACGCAGTCAGAAACACCCATCTTGCTAATACGATTCGAGTCATGGCTTGCATCTTTTTCAAGGTCGCACAACAGTTAGAGAGCATGTTGAAAGCAAATTTGATAAACGTAACAATCTTATGAGCAAAGCTTAGCAAATGACCCCAACATTCAACGCCAATCCCTTCTGTTCTCATTGATATAAGAAGCTTGTTACTCAATATATAGAATCAGAATTTAATTCACAGTTGATGTGGTGATTAATCCTAGAAGATGCTACAATTCATTACGGATAAGAATATATTGTTGTGAAAGAGGCAGTGAAATATTGCGTCAAAAATGACGCTGGTATAAACGCGTGACTATTAAGAACTAATTTGTTGCTTTACATATATATAGGTAGAAGCATGCAATACCAAACAGTAATGATTATTTTCTTAGAAAAATAGTTAAGGCAAAAATTGCCAGTCCTGCCAACCTATGCCTTGCATGAAATATTTTCCAAAAATGAAATCCAAAGAAATCCAAGATGAGAAAAAAAATTCAGTAAATGATGCTGAGATAACGAAAACTGGATGAACAACATCAGGAGTTCTTAACGCCTGCCTAGAAGAAAAGGCCAATTATCGAAGAAAATGGATAGCCGGTTGGCATAAAATATTCGGCTCAAAAGAACTAAAGGTAAAGACACATCTGTACACAAATCGCACAAAGTATACCACTATGAACGATCAGGTGATCAAGCCTTATTCTTCTTCCTGAACTTTTCTGCGAGCATCACATTTAAGGCAGAGATGCAGAAATTTGGTCGCATCAACTAAATTGGATTACCAAAGTGATTCAAGAATTGATATAGAGGTTGATGGCTAGATCAATTAGTAAGGGTTTAAAGGTCAGGTCTACAACCTCTTCGCAAATTGAAACCAGGTCTTATTCGCCATGTAGTATCATTGTAACATGTCACAACCTTAGTAGCGGCATACGAAGATATTATTTCCAAAAGTGGAATATGTATGGATAAGGTAAAATTACGTTTAGAGGTTGTTTGACCTTGTTTTCGCAACTTGGTCATATTGGTAGGAAGACTTAGAGAAACACACCCAGTCCGGAGTCCATTGTATGCATGGTTATTTCCAAGGTCGGACCGTGGACGTGGTACATTCCCAGACGTTTCGCCGAGTCTTGCCATTTTTAACACCACACTGCAACTCCTCAAAGAGACATGTGAAGCCGATTCTTTAACCAACGTGTGCTTAACAGTTGTGGTAACCCATAAATGTTCTGGTCCAATATTAAACCTAATCAAAGCAAGCAGTAGCACAACATTTGTGGGTTAGCACACAAGATACTAGGGCATGGGAAGTCATAGACTTGGTATTAGAGATAGAAACAGAATAGACGCGGCGGAGACTAGAGTTAGTTTGGTTGACAGTTTTACAAGAGACGTGGTCCATATAGCAAAGGCTTGATGATGAGACTTACTCATAGGCTTTAGCCTCGAATCAGTCAACCAGACGCATGGAAGGGATATTAACGCCCCCAGTAGCACAGATGGAGTGGCAGTGGTCGAGTAAAATACGTGAACAATGGAGAGAGCATACGGATCTTACGAGACAAGAGAGAGACTCTGATAAGACCCAGGGAAGAAGGACTGCATAACAATAAAACAGACTCTGCTCAACATTCCCACACTACATCAAAATAAGCACGGTAAAAATTGTAACAGTGAAGGCGTTATAGGAGGATATAGGAAATGTGAATAGCCGAGGGCAAAAGGAGACATACCACAACTATTAAGCACAGGTTTGGTCAAAGGATCGGCTTCACTTGTCTCTTTGACGAGATGTAGTATGGTACTAAGAATGGCAAAACTCACTGACGATGCAGGCGAAACGTCTTGGAATGTACAACGTCCACGGTCAGACTGGAAATTATCATGCATACAATGGACTCTGGACTAAATACGTTCATCTAAGTCTTACTACCAATATGACCAAGTTGAGAAAACAAGGTCAAACAACTTATATATAAAGAAAGGAGACTGCGACCACACAAAAAGCAACACTATCTTGGTCTTCATATCTTCAATTAAACTACGTTAGTAAAATTGCTAAACAATGCACTGAATACAGCCGGACAAAGAAGACAATTGTAAGTCAATCTTCCCATTTTACTTTTTAGGCTGTTGTAAACGTTATGGTGCCACTCTTAAGTAATGTGACCTTAAGAGACCCTACCACTCGGATAAGGTTAATGAGTACCTCCACCAGGTTTATATTTAGAAACTAAGTGAGACCTATGATACTGAACGTTATAAGTTGTTTAAGTTTATAGATATTAAGTCAAAGCTAAGGCGTGATCTGGTCAGGGTCATGTCTACGGAAGATTTTCAAAAATTCAAGAGCATGACCGACAGGAAATCAAGTAAGATTTCTGACTTAATAACAAAACGGCATTATGCTAAATTGTGTAGGTTTGGGATTATAAGACAGCCTAAGTTAAAGCCAGAACGCCCAGTTGAAGTGGCTTCCGAGGTGACACACCAACTGATCAGCACGAGGATCAATACTAAACTTATCATTAATTCCTCCCAAACCTAAAACAACCGCATTCCTGGAAAAAGTACACCATTTTTCAATTTAGCATCACACAAGCCTTCTAGGAGACATCCTGGTGGAGGTTATCAATATCGCCGACAAGTTATCTGAGGAGATAAAACGGGAAATGGAACTAATTCTAAAGATCTTGACAAATCAGGAGTCTACACACAGGAACAGATTTGCTGTGATACACAAAACCCTGGAAACGAATGAATAATTTTTCCTTCAGGCAGACAAAGGATGAGCTACAGTGATAATGGACAAAAAACAATATACCGAGTAGATGGAACAAATTCTACGATACAGGACCACATATAGTATACTAAACAAGGACCCAACAATAAATATCAATGGAATCTTAAGTTCCATGCTGAAAGATATGCATAGGAATCGGGAAATTGACGCATGGACAAAAAAGGATTGACGACAAACCAACAGCCTAAGGATTACCAAAGATACACAAAGAAGGCGAGCCACTAAGGTTGATAGTCAACAACAAGTATGAAGTAACATACAAGTTAGCAAAGTTTATATGTTTAAAGCTCAAGAAATGAAATTATAGACTATCAAACATGGTGAAACATTCATATAAATTTTCTAAAAAAATCAAAAACATGGCACTAGAAGAAACGGACTTATTAATATGTTTCGATGTGGAATCCATGTATACAAATATCTTTGTAGAAAATGCGCTAATGCGCTTGCTGGAAATCCTGGAATCACTAAGGGTAAAGAGGGAGTCATTAACAAGACTAATCAACTTGACATTAAGGAAAACCTATTTTACATTCAACTATCTATAATAAATATTTCTACTTCCCAAAGGATCGCCGCTCTCACCACTTTTGACAAACGTATAAATAAACAAAATAGAAGATAGAAGTGGGTTGACCTCTGTATAGCTTGGTCTTGTTGTCTGGGGGACTATATAGAAATCACCTATTCCGAAGTCGTCTGCCATAGTAGTTGTCATGATTCCCAGCATCTGACAGTGGACTTAATACATTCTCAAA